TGAAAAGTATACTTTTAGGTAAGCATCAGAAATAGATTTATCAAAAGCATTATGTTTAAAGATCAATCAATAATTTGTTTAAAATGTCGGATATATTTTAGGGACTAATTAAATTAGTCTTGGTAATTTCTGGAGGTCCCTTGAAGAATACTAGTACTCTTGCTGATATTCAACGTTTGATCCACGAAGAAACACCAGGATATATGCCGCCAATTTGTTTTGCTTTGCAACGCGATAAAACCAAGTATAGTCTTTATTATATCACAATTATTAAAAAATCTTGAACCATAAAGGTGGTAAGAAATAAGCCTTTAATTTAATTTGAAAAATTGAAAAATAAAACTTTGCTGAAATAAATAGTTAGTTATTAATAACAAAACAAAAGACAATCATTATCGGATATAATTTGATCTTTGCGCGATTTCAATCAATCGAAGGATAATTTTATGACCAAGAATACAGTAGCCGTGATAATTTTCCGCGGTAAATCAGTTCTCAGCGAACTGATTGTGGCTGAAACAAAAAATGAAACACTGTTTCGCGACATGCTTCTGCAAAAAAAAGTAAAAACCTTTATTATTATTATTATTAACATTACTACCATTATTATCATCATCATTTAATATCATTATTAATTATTATTATTAAAATCAATTGTTATTAATATTATTCTCTCAGTGAAAAATGAAGATTACGATATTGGCTAGAAGTTTTCTTCAGTTTTTCACTTTCAATATTTTTTATCAAATTTTATAAATTTGAGTATTTCTATTCAAATGCAATCCAACAGAGTATACAATATTGGTCATAAAACAACTTTTTTTTTGCAGAAATCCTTCGATATTCACAAAAACGATCAAAAAATAGTCTTTCACTTCACAACGTGTAATGGATCAGAACCGGAAAATAGTGAAGAAATTTTCAGGTTTTATATAATTTATTTAAAAAAAAGCTTATCATAGACTCAAATATGATTAGCTGATATTTCTTTTAACATAACTTAAGCAAATTAATTTAAAACTAATCATGTTTAGGTGTTGTATAAAGTATACTTTGTACTGTAATAAATAAGTTACATTTCAGAGATGTGTTTGGTATCAAACCGATTACTCTATGCTTACTTGGCAAGAAATCATCTACAGGAGTAATGGACACTGCCATGGACTGTTTGATGAAAAAAGGCCCAGTATATGTTTTTGTTTTTGTAAAACATTTCTCAGATCAATTTTGACTGCATATCATTAAGCATATTGATTGATTGATAATGATAAAAGTTTAAGATTCTGTGCTAACTGTGATTCGTTTATAATTGAAATATAAATCCTTGCACAGAATTTGCTATCTTTTAGCGAATAATAATAATAACACATTTATGCGTGAAAACACAAAACTGAAAATAATAATTAATAGTTATTAAAAACGAAAATGATAAATAGCAATTATCAGAAAAACTTATTACTTTAGATCATGAAGTCTCGAAAAGCATTTGCAAATGCCTCGAGTGTAAATTACAGCCATTATCAAGCTTGACATTTATTAAGAATTTAAATGTATGGAAAATTCCGCTATTGATTAACTAACTTATAACTTTGATCAGTTAACAGTGAGGTTATTTGTGACTATCACTTGCATTATAGTTTATGCGAATTATTCGGATTTTTTTTAATTCAAAAATTAAAAGTTTTTTATTTTATAAAAGAATTTTGTTGCATGCTTGGGCTTATGTCATTTGAGTAAACAAAAAATAAAACCATTAAAATTAATTTTACCACTCTTTTTCACGTACAATTATGCAATTGCAAAAAGTAACGTAACGTATAGTGAAAAAAATGTTTTTTATACGCAAAACTTAACTGTTCAATTGCATATTATTAATTAATATTACTAATAATATTTTTTGTTATTTAATCAGTAGCACTTAAAAATACTAATGGTATATAATTTGGCTTTTTA